CTTTCAGAGCACCTTCAGTGTGGATGGTGAGCCAGGAGTCAGGCTGAGGAATGAATGAGAGATGAGGAAATGAAGATGGTAAGTTTCGCCATGAAGAGGGAGAAATAGGGCAATAAATGGAGGAGAACACAGGGCAGAGCAAGTTGTGTGTGCGTGTGCGGAGTGAAGATTCCTCACCTCCTTCATCTCTATATAGCATTCCTACATTTATTCTGCCTTTCATTCTCATTGCTCTTGCTTTGTTTGGCTTTCTTTACCTTTCACATAGACCAGAAGTCAACTACAACCCACAGACTAAACTGGCTAATTGCCTGTTTTTGTTTTTATTGGAACCTTATTCATTTACATTTTATCCATGGTCACTTTTCTGCTACAACAGCAGAGTTTGGTATGACAAAAACCATATGACCCATGAAATACAAAGCATTTGCTCTCTGGCCCTTTGCCAACCTCTGACTAGACTATTGTGACGGTTTTCACCAAAGATATCTATCTGTAATCTAAGATAGTAGTAGCATTCAAACTCCTTTCTGATCTGGCTTCCAATGTCAACACTTGGCTTGTTACCATTGTTCTTAATTCCAGTTGAACTGCTGTTCACTCTGCCTTCTGTTCATATTGTTTTTTCCTCCCTCTGGGTCTGTTCTGCTTTTCAATGTGGATAATAATAGCTAATATTATACCGAACTTAACTTTGTGCCAGGCACTGTGCTAGACATAATGAGTGTACCATCTAATTTAACTTTCACAGCAATCTTGGGATTGGAATTATGATAACAAATAATAGTTAATAATAAAATCTACCTCAGAGGGTTGTTAGGAGAATTTATTGAGGGAGGGTGTCTAAAATGCTGGGCACGCAGTATATGTAAAGACTGCTGTTTTTGTGTTTTTTTAAAGCAAAACTTGCAAAATACCACTATTATTTGTACCAATCCCTCCTCCCAATTCTGTTCCTAGAGACAACCACTTTTTTTTTCTTTCTTTTTCTTTTTGAGACTGGGTCTCACTCTGTCGCCCAGGCTGGAGTGCAGTGGCACAATCTCTGCTCACTGCAACCTCCACCTCCCAGGTTCAAGCAATTCTCCTGCCTCAGCCTTTCTAGTACCTGTGACTACAGGCGCAAGTTACCACACCTGGCTGATTTTTGTATTTTTGGTAGAGATGGGGTTTCACCATGTTGTTGGCCAGGCTAGTCTAAGACTCCTGACCTCAAGTAATCCTCCTGCCTCAGCCTCCCAAAGTACTGGGATTATAGGCATGAGCCACTGTGCCCAGCCATATTTACATTTCTAAATAATAAAGGTATGTCCTTATTTCTGTCAGAGATTCCCCCATTTTATTATTTTTTTTTTTTGAGACAGAGTCTCACTCTGTTTCCCAGACTGGAGTGCAGTGGCGTGATCTCAGCTCACTACAACCTCTGCCTCCCAGATTCAACTGATTGTCGTGCCTCAGCCTCCCCAGTAGTTGGAACTACAGGCGCCTACCACCATGCTTGGCTAATTTTTGTATTTTGGGTAGAGACAGGGTTTCACCGTGTTGGCCAGTCTGGTCTCAAACTCCTGACCTCAAGTGATTTGCCCACCTCAGCCTCCCAAAATGCTGGGATTATAGGCATGAGCCACTGTGCCTAGCCTCCCATTTTATATTTATTTTTTAAGACAGGGTCTCACTCTGTCACCCAGGCTAGAGTGCAGTGCACAATCTTGACTCACTGCAGCCTTGATCTCTTCAGGTGATCCTCCTACCTCATCTTCCCATATGGCTGGGACCACAGGTGCATGCCACCATGTCTGGCTAATTTTTAAATTTTTTGGTAGAGACAAGGTCTCACTATGTTGCCGAAACTGGTCTCAAGCTCCTAGACTCAAGCAGTCCTCCCACTTAGCTTCCCAAACTGTTGGTATTACAGGCGGTGAGCCACCACACCCAGTTCTTTTCCCCCATTTTAGATGCCATTTTTTGACTTTTAAAGGATAAATGTTTAGCTCTCTTACCACCACCATCTCCCACCCACCTGCACAAGAAGCACATTCTCCCTCCTTCTATCCTCCCAATATAGTTATAATGTTCTTTTTGGTTAAATCAGTATTCAGTCCTTGTTAGATGATGTAAATGTTACTTACAACTAAGCTATGTGGTATACCAACTTCCAATTATTTTTTTTCTTTGCTTGTTTTCTGCATAACTAATTCCTCCCTAAGTAAAATACATTCTTCAGATATTTTATCAGTTTCCTTTTTTTCCTTAGCACCATCTCCCATCCTCCTGCTTCATAAATGATATGGTTATTCCCCAGACCTGTTGCATACGTGTTGTCCTGAGTCTTCCCTTTATATCTTTCCTATGGGTCTCCTGCTCATAACTCCTCCTGAAGAAGGGGTACATGGGAAGTAAATCTTTTGAAATCTTGTATATTTGGAAATATATATATATGTTTATTTCATTCTTTATACTTAATGATAGTTTGGTTGGGAATTGAGTTCTAAGTTGGAAATCGTTTTCCCTCAGAATTTTGAAGCATTACTCTGTTGTCTCTTCTGGAGTCCAGTGTTGCTATGGAAAGTTAGTGCCATGCTGACTCAAAGACCTTTGACCCTGAACTGTATTTTCTCCATATTCCTTGGCGATCTTCTTTGTATCCCTGGTATTCTGAATTTCGGAATGTTGGTCTCTTATTCCTTTTGCTAGGCACTCAATGGATCCTTTCCATCTGACAGCTCATGTTCTTCAGTACTGGGAACATCAGTTATTTCTTAATTTTCTCTTTCTGTATTCTCTATTCTCCTTTTCTGGAACATGTATTTGTGATTTGTGTTTGTATAATTTTCTATCTCTTTCTACCTTTTTTCCCATTTTTAACATTTTTGTTCTACCTTCTGTATCTTCATATTTATCTTATAACTTTTAGTTTTTGTTTATACTATCATATTTTTTATTTCTTGTTTCATAAAGTAATATTTCCTGTCTCCTAATCCCGTTAGTTACCACATATAGGTTCCAGACAACTAATAACAGTACAAAATAGGCTCTGATTAGATGTTGAAATGTTTGGTACTAAGTGCTAGGGGATAGAAGGGTCTAAAAAAACCACCATCTGCCAGAAAAACTTGGAGCAGTTTCATGGAAGGAGTAAGATAGGATCTGGACTTGGTATATAAGTAGGTAATTTGGATAGGTAAGGAATGGCAGTGGTGAATGGTGGAAAAAGTGTTGGCTTTGGAAGCAGGTCCAACTGAATCACTGTGAAACCTCATAGAAGTCCAACCTCTCTGTGCCTTAGTTTCCTCATCTTTAATGGGACTGATAACATCTTCCCGCTAGAGTTGCTGTAAAGAAAGAAGTTGAATATGTAAAGTATCTGGCACATAGTTGGAATTTAATAAATATACTTTATTCTGTAAATTCCTTGAGGCTGAAAAGCATCTTCTCTAGACACAATTCCTGGCATAGTGCTTGCTATGTAGTGGAGTCTTACTATAGATAATGAATGAAAGGGAATGAGTAAATGAGTGAATGAGAAGGGAGAGCATTCTAGGCAGTGGGGAGTAATAGAATAGCAGCAGGGAAGTTGGAAATGAGCTGTTGCGTGGGAATGGACTTGTAAGACCTCAGCCTGACTCAAAAGATTTATATATTGACAAGCATTAATGGAAATATGTCTGGAAAGTTGGGCTAGTATTTTTTGGAGGAGTCAGGGCTGAGGAGGGTTGACGGAGGAATTGTTGGGCCAGTATGAAGGTGTTTTAATTAATGACCAAATCAGGGGTGGAGAATCTCTGGCTCAAGTTAGACCAACTGGTCTAATGCCATTTTTGAACATGAACATTTGGGCAAGGGATTTAAGTTCTCTGAACTCGTAGGAAAATGACTCCTGCTCTGTCTACAAGCAGAATGTGGTAATAATAAAGATCAAATACACAATTAGAAGTATGCGTGGGCTGGGCACGGTGGCTCACGCCTGTAATCCCAGAACTTTGGGAGACCGAGGCAGGTGGATCACGAAGTCAAGAGATCGAGACCATCCTGGTCAACATGGTGAAACCCCGTCTCTACTAAAAATACAAAAACTTAGCTGGGCATGGTGGCGCGTGCCTGTAATCCCAGCTGCTCAGGAGGCTGAGGCAGGAGAATTGCCTGATCCCAGGAGGCAAGGTTGCGGTGAGCCAAGATCACGCCATTGCACTCCAGCCTGGGTAACAAGAGCGAAACTCCAGCTCAAAAAAAAAAAAAAGAAGTATGTGTGCTTTATAAGGTTGTGGCAGTTTCATAGACTCAGGAAGCAGGTATAGAGACAAACCCTATTTATGCATGTAGCTATAAAACCAACGTGGCTTTAAGTTTTTGGAAGCAATAAACCAATAAGCCACATTGGGGTATGCGTCACCAATAGAAGTATTTCTTATCTTGCCCTTTGCCTTAATTTGGCTATATATAGTTTTCCTTTTTACTTATTTTAATGCCTAGACCTATACTGTCTAATCCAGTAGCTACTAGCTTCATTACATTTAATTAAAATTAAATAAAATTTAAAATTCAGTTTCTCAGTTACGTTAGCCGCAGGTCAAGTGCTCGGTAGTTAGTAGCTACCATATTAGACAGCACAGATATAGAACATTTTCATCATACAGAAAGTTCTGTTGGAGAGCAGTGGGTTAGACTATGTAGAATTGCAGTGTGTGTGTGTGTGTGTGTGTGTGTGTGTGTGTATTTTAAATATGTATGTGTTTTGTCCTCTGACTTTAATTTATAAACCAGGTAAGTGAAGCTTGTTTCTTTAAAAACATTAAGCTGTTTTTCACTTAAATGAGCCTCCTACATCAGTGGCTTTCTATTGAGAACAGGTTCTCCAACCTGACTGAAGTTAATGGATATTCTTAATTAACAACGTGATAGGATATAGAAGACTGAGTGATTCAAAGAGCTTCTAGTCTAATTGGAAATGTAACTGATTGTGTTTTGCCAGATGTCATTTCAAGAATGTCTTTTCTTTTAAGATGCTAAAGAAAACCCTTATGGCGAGGATGACAATAAGAGCCCATTCCCCCTGCAGCCCAAAAACAAACGCAGTTATGCCCAGAATGTGACTGTCTGGATCAAACCTAGTGGCCTGCAGGTAACATTACCATTTATGTTGCTTTCCACTGAGGGACCGGAGACATTTAGGTAGGCAGGCAGGCAGACATTTTATTTGATTTTCCTTTCCTTTGATACTTAGTAATTCATTTACTTCTGATGTTTGTCATTATTTCCAAAAGGGATTTGAGATGCCCTACAGCAAAACATGCATATAGCAAAATCATTTTTTACAAAATTTAGAGCATTAAGAATCCTAGAGGAAGAAGGAAGACAATTGTGCCTGGAACCCAAGGCAAAATGATAATTTTACGTGAGCATTTTGGCCCTGAGTTTTCCTGCTACCGAAATCAAAAAAGAAACATGTTGGGTTATATAGCTGTTCTTGTCTAAAAAAAAGGAAATTTGCCAGTTTGTCTAGAGAGACTTATATTTTCCTGGCACTGAATTTTAGTGTGAAATTTTTCATATGGTGAGACATTGAATAACATAATGGGCATTGTCTTTGACAACAGTTTTGGAAAAGATGTAAAAGTCTTCATATCGGTATTTCTTCCATCCCTTCAGTAGAACCCAAGCCAAAGCATTACATTTCACAAAAACTTTCATAGGAAGCTACGATAACACTATTATCAAGGAATGATTCTTTCAGGCAAGGTATTCAGGAATATTTCTCCTTTCATCAACAAAAAGTCATTTATTGAGACTTTTTTTAAAAAATCATTTATTGAGACTTTTTTCTCCTTTGAGCACCTTTATTTACATTCTTTCCTCCAGTAAGTTCAGCCTAAACCAAATGAGAAGAGACAGTTAGGCCACTTGGACAACAAAAGTAGCTTCTGTTGACTGCACAATCTCTGAGCCCCCTTTCCACGGAGACTGAACTACACCCTGCCAAGGCTAACGTGTCAGGGGCCTCTTTGTTGGAAAATTAGGGTCTTCGACTTTCCTGATGTCCCTGACCCCAGCACTTCCTTGTCAGAGGGATGTTAGAACCACTTTGACCACCAGTTATAGCTGAGTTTTTCTTAAATTATAAAAAAAAATTTTGTTTGATTCTTGACTACTATAGAAATTTTTTTTTTGTTCCTAGGTTTATTTTTCTTATTTTGGTAAAATATACATAATGTAAACTGTACCTTCAACCATTTTAAGGTACACAATTCAGTGCCATTTAGTACATTCACAATGTACCATCACCTCTATCTAGTTCCGGAACATTTTAATCACTCCAAAAGGAAACCCTGTACCCATTAGAAAAGTCACTCCACATTCCTCCCTTCTTCCAGGCCCTGGCAACTACTAATTTGCTTTCTGTCTCTATGGACTTACCTATTCTAGATATTTCATGTAAACAGAATCATACAATTTGCAGCCTTTTGTGTTTGACTTCTTATACTTAGCATAATGTGTTCAAGGTTAATTCACGTTTTAGTATGTATCAGTACTTCATTCCTTTTTATGGCTAATATTTCATGTCTATATGTATATGTCACATTTTAATTATCCAGTTGATGGACATAGGTTACCATTTGGCTATTGTGCATAATGCTATTATAAACATTCATGTATAAGTTTTTGTCTGAATATTTGTTTTGAATACTCTTGGGTATATATATATTTATTAATGGGAATGGATTGCTGGGTCAGACAACAATTCTATTTAACTTGTTGAAGAATTGACACACTCTTTCACAGCAGCTGCACCATTTTGCATTCCTGCCAACAGTGTATAAGTGTTCTAGTTTCTCCATGTTCTTACCAATACTCGCTGTTTTCCATTTATTATTACTGTTATATAGCTATCATAGTGGGTGTGAAGTGGTATGTCTTTGTGTTTTTTCATTTCTTTAATAACTAGTAATGTGTATCTTTTCCCATGCTTATTGGCCATTTGTGTATATTATTTGAAGAAGTATATACTCAAGTTCTTTGTCCATTTTTTAATTAGGTTTGTCTTTTCGTTGTTGAGTTTTTTAATATATTCTGGACAGTAAGACCCTAGCAGATACAGGATTTGCAAATATCTTCTCCCATTTTGTGAGTTACCTTTTCATTCTCTTTATAGTATCCTTTGATACACAGTTTTTTGTTTTGATGAAGTCACATTTTGTTTTTTGCTTTTGTTGTTTGTGCTTTTTGCTATCTTAACTAAGAGATAATTGCCAAATCCAAAGTCATGAAGATTTATCCCCTGTGTTTCCTTTTTTTTCTCCCCTGCCCCCCCATTTGAGAAATGCATCTCACTATGTTGCTCAGGTTGGTCTCAAACTTCTGGTCTCCATAAATCCTCCTGAGTAGCTGGGATTACAGGGGCACACCACTGTACCTGGTTCCTGTTTTCTTCTGAGTTTCATAGTTTTAGCTCTTACTTGTAGGTCTCTGATCCTTTTTGAGTTAATTTTTTGTGTATGGTGTGATGTAAGGGTCCAAATTTGTTCTTTTGCATGTGGATATCCAGTTGTCTCAGCACCAAATGTTGAAAAGACTATTTTTTCCCCATTGAATGGTCTTTGCAAAAAAGCCCCTGGCAATAGTTGTATAGGTTTACTAGATACAGTTTTATGAGGCAAGTTCATTTCTGTGAGGGGATTTCTTTTATTATCAAGCCTTTTGAAGGAGGGAATGCTTTACTAATGTTGACCTGACATTAACTCAAAAGGGATCCTCATCTTGACATTGTAGCTCTGTTCTCATTTTCATTTCTTTAAACATTTAGATCCTTTTTTAAATGTTATTTGCCCTTTTTTACCACAGAATTCTAATGTTGGATTTTTTTTTTACCTTTAATAGACAGATGTACAGAAGATTTTGAGAAATGCAAGGAAACTACCTGAAAAAACACAGACATTCTATAAGGTGAGACCATCAGAATATGGTGGAAGAGGATGTGCCCAAAATATATGGTTGACAGTAAAACTGTAGGATGGCAGTGTGAATATGGACAGGAATTAGAGATGTATGACTTGTGCCTCAGTTTTTTCAAATAAATTCAGTATGGCCGGGCACAGTGGCTCACACCTGTAATCCCAGCACTTTGGGAGGCCGAGGCGGGTGGATCACGAGGTCAAGAGATCCAGACCATCCTGGCCAACATGGCGAAACCCCGTCTCTACTAAAAATACAAAACATTAGCTGGGCATGGCGGCGCGAGCCTGTAGTCCCAGCTACTCTGAATTGCTTGAACCCAGGAGGTGGAGGTTGCGGTGAGCCGAGATCGCGCTGCTGCACTCCAGCCTGGGTAACAAGAGCGAAACTCCGTCTCAAAAAATATATATACAAAACTTAGCTAGGCGTGATGGCATGTACCTGCAGTCCCATCTACTTAGGAGGCTGAGGCAGGAGAATTGCTTGAACCTAGGAGGCGGAGGTTGTAGTGAGCCGAGATCGCACCACTGCCTGGCGTCCAGCAACAGAGCAAGACTCTGTCTCAAAAAATAAATAAATTTAAAAAAAACAAACTTAGTATAAGTGATAGGTCTGTTCCTTCCCTAAAATCCAAGAATTGTAAGGGTTTAAATGGCCTCATTCTGTATAGGAGGATGGTTTTTCTGTTGGGGCTGCTGTGAATGAATGGCTGAAGGAAGCAGCTGAGAGGACCTGTGGGTCATAATCCTGAACTCTCCTTATCACTCCTATATGGGAATCCAGGCCAACCCAGGCAACCAATGTATATGGCTTCCCAAATGGGAAATTGCCTAGAACATTTTTTTTGTTTTTTGTTTTTTGAGACAGAGTCTCGTTCTATTGCCCAGGCTAGAGTGTAGTGGCGTGATGTCGGATCACTGCAACCTCCACCTCACAGGTTCAAGTGATTCACCTATCTCAGCCTCCCGAGTAGCTGGTACTACAGGCACATGCCACCACACACGGCTAATTTTTGTATTTTTAGTAGAAATGGGGTTTCGCTATGTTGGCTAGGCTGGTCTTGAACTCCTGACCTCAGGTGATCCGCCCACCTCAGCCTCCCAAAGTGCTGGGATTACAAGCGTGAGCCGTCCTGCCTGGCCAGTCCAGAACATTCTTATTGCACCAGAGAATCTGCTTCTAGGAATGACATCTAAAATTACACATTTATGAATTGCAGAGGAGATGGCCCTCCAGAATCATGCGTAGCTAATCCAGTACCACTGGTGAAGAGACATTAAGTTACAGGGTAGAGTGGGGAACATTTAGGTTTGCTCCTTGATTCTCCCCTATTGTTTTGGTGTTTGGCTGGAATTAAATTAAGTGCAGCATAAAGTATGTCATTTGTATACTAGCTTTCTAATTCTAAAATATGGCACACACAGCCATCCTCAGGCTAGCATCTTAACGGGCGAAGATACATGTGCTACTTCGTCTGGGTTTTACCTCATTATCTTTATGTCACTGTTGTCTTCAAACCTAATTATGTAGTAAGCTGGTGAGATAAAACAGCTTTAATCAGAGTCCAACCGAAGAGCTTCTCAGCTAGCCAGGCCCCTCCCTAATTGAAGCCCATAATCCACACAGTCCATCCTCCCTTCAGAGCTTTCTACAGTCATCAGCTATTTACTCATGATGACACACTTGTTTGGCCTTCTTTTGAACTTTCCACTTTTTTAACAGATGATAGTATAAAGATGGTCAGAGAACCCATTTCTCTTTTCTGGTTTTGTATTAATTCTACATATTAGAGCTCCAAAGGGCCCAGGGAAACTGACTGCTTCAGCCCCTGCAGTGGGCAAGGAAGGGGTTATTCTGATTTGATTCGATTTTATATATATATATTTTTTGACATGGAGTCTTGCTCTGTCGCCAGGCTAGAGTGCAGTGGCGCAATCTCAGCTCTCTGCAACCTCCGTCTCCCAGGTTCAAGCGATTCTCCTGCCTCAGCCTCCCAAGTAGCTGGGATTACAGGCACATGCCACCACGCCCAGCTAATTTTTCTATTTTTAGTAGAGACAGGGTTTCATCATGTTGGCCAGGATGGTCTTGATCTCTTGACCTTGTGATCCACCCAACTCGGTCTCCAAAAGTGCTGGGGTTACAGGTTTGAGCCACTGTGCCTGGCTCATTTTCATTTTATAAATGAGGTCTTTCAGATCCAGAGAGGCTACACAACTTGCCCATATCACTCCACTAAGGGGTTGTTGGGGCACTTCATATTTCTCTGCTTCTATCACTAACCAACCTTCCTTTTTGTGGTCTTTCCACTGCCTCCTCTGAGCCTGTTTATTGTCTTAGTCTGAGGCCCTGCCACAGTGACATCAGAGGATTAAGAGCCTTTTGAGATTGAGGGCAAGTCTTTTCCATACCTAAATAATTAGGGAAAAGTACTCCTCCTTAAAGTTAGGAGTGATGAAATGATGGATGCAAAGTGCTGACCACCACGTATGGCATAAATGCTCATTAACTGTGATGATGACATGTGTTCAGTCAGCTCACTGTCTTCCTAGCCATCTTCTGGTCACCTGTAGAGGAACCACTTCCCAGGTACACCATCACATTCTTGTAACTGGCATCCCTAAATAAATATGTTCTCATATAAAATTGCTCCCAAAAACAAAAAAAAATAACAAAAATAAAAGAAAAAATGCTCCCTAAAGTTCAGTCAAGGAGAACTTATTCTCAGCTGAGCACTTAGAAAGTATGTGTTGAGAACACATTTCAGGAGCATTGATGATTTTCTGTCTTGTCTCAGGAGCTGAACCGTTTACGAAAGGCTGCTCTAGCCTTTGGTTTCCTGGACCTGCTGAAAGGGGTGGCTGACATGCTGGAAAGGGAATGCACACTGTTGCCCGAAACAGCCCACCCCGATGCTGCATTCCAGCTGACCCACGCTGCCCAGCAGCTCAAGCTGGCCAGTACCGGCACCTGTGAGTATGCCGCCTATGACCAGAACATCACACCTTTGCATACAGACTTCTCTGGGAGCAGCACTGAAAGAATGTGAAACTGACTTTTGGAGCTTTCCTTTTTTCATTTCAACTGAAAATGATTTAGAGTAAAAACCTTTCCAGTGTATTCACCTCTGGAATAGCCACCCAAAGACCTTCCTGAGGCTGCCTCACAAGCACCACTTGCTGTTTTGAATGACTCCACTAGCATGAGAAGGATGTGAAGGTGGTTGGCTGATTGGGCATTAACTTCCTGGGACTCACAAGTTTTAAGCTTGGAAGATAACTGCTGTTCCCATGATGGGCACATTTCCTGAGAAGCTTGAATGGCTGATGAGCATAGAATACCCCTGCCTTCCTCAGGAAACCTGACCGGCAAGGGCTCTCTGACTTCCTGATAGCGTCGCCTGTTCTCTCCAGTTTATATCTCAACTGTTAAGGGCATATTCAAGCTTCTGTTCAGGTGTTGAGTACAAACACACCACCACTTTCAGAACCTTCCTCAGAACTTGGGCAAAATGTAGTGGTGATTCTTAGATGCTTTTGGTGTCTCTTGAGATTCTAACTTTTAAAGGGCAACCATTAATGTGTAAAATGAGTCCTGTTTCTTCAAGGGTTTTTTTTTAATGAAAATATTTGATTTTCTATAAAATGGTTTCACTATGAAACTAAGGGTCCTTTATCTTTTGGTCTGTCCTATCACTTGAATATAATTTCAACTTCTTAAGTGGCATAAATAAGGAAAATAATGAGGTTTCCTTATTTCTGACACTGATTGATTAGGCCTCATTGCCTAAGCAAGGTTCTGGCTAGATAATCCTGACAGATCACCAATTCCAAAGTTAGTAATGGTTCCAATTTATCAGCTTTATGACGCTGGGCAACTACCTGAGGCTTTCTCTGCATCATCAGTTTTTCAGTTGCACCACCTTCCGTGTAAATCTCACGTTTCAACCAGAGTAACTGTTTTTGGTTTAACATGCTGATTGCTACATATTTTGCCTGAACAAAGGACTTTATCACTAACAGAAAACCATTAGACTAAACTGACATTAAGCACAGTTATTAGAATTTTGATTGTAAATGTTTTAATGGAAATACACAATTGTTCACTTTCTCAAACAGCAATAAAGGGGTTTGTAACAATCACTAAGAATACAGAATTTTGCCACGAGGATGCAGCAATCTACTGCAAAGCTGATCTGCCCCATTACACATAGCTGCAAGAATATCAGAAATCAACACAAACAAGTATTGACAGGTGTTACAGACATGCAAAATATCCTTCAGTGCACAAATTTTTAAGAAATCAGCCAGCCTATGTTAACAGATGTTTTAGTTAAAGTTTCCATCTTGGGCTCAGTGACATAGTGTTAACTCACTGAATCTTCTTTCCCCCAGGAATGTTGAGAATGGCAGAACAAGAAGAGTTATCACTCCTTAAATTCTTTTATGCAAGTGTTACTCCAACACTTATTTTACTTGGTTTACTTGGAATGTATGAGGGGAAACTGATGTTTTTTACAGTGGCCAACTGTATGTCTAAATTTTCAGTTCTCTTTTTTGTGAGTCTCCCGCCAGAAATCCTTGTTAAAGGATCAGCAGGTGTTCACCCCAAAGTTCTCGCTGTTCTCAGTGTCCTACTGCAGATGGGTTTAAAAAGCTGACAACAGCAGCAGAAGGAAAATTTTTTTGAGGTCTATTCAAAAATGTACAGTCCTGTCACTCACTTGAACAGGTTGACAAGTGGACTCAGCCAGTGCAGGAGATGGAAGGCTGCCATTTTCTGTGTCTGTGAACAGCTTAAGACAGTTTGGAGGTGTGTTTGGCCTACTCTAATGTTTCTAGTTTGTCAAAGGCTGTAAGCTGTGTTACTGCCACTTTGACCTACATATTTGTGTTCCCTTTGCATCCCTGTTACCATTTGGACCTCGTGTGTGTGTGTGTATGTGTGGTTTGGTTTGGTTGAGACAGGGTCTTGCACTGTCACCCCAGCTGCAGTGCAGTGGCACAATCTCGACTCACTGCAGCCTTGACCTCCTGGGCTCAGGATCTTCCCATCTCAACCTCCTGAATAGCTGGCACTACAGCTGTGTGCCACCACAGCCAGCTAATTTTTTTATTTTTTTGTAGAGATGGGGGTCTCATTATGTTGCCCAGGCTCGTCTTGAACTCCTGGCTTCAACTGATGCTCCCACCTCGGTGTCCCAAAGTGCTGGGATTACAGGTGTGAGCCACATTCCTGGCTGAATTTGGAATTTGTAATCTCATTGTTTTATAAATAATGGTTCATTTTTCTTCAGTGTTGAAAATAGTTGATTTACTTAAAAATGGCATGATCATGATGTTCCAAGATTCTGATTAGTTTCTTTCAAAGCATTCTGTGCCTCTTCAATGCCCACACTGCTGAATACTATAGTAATAGACGTTGTTAGGCCAAAGGATGTCAGATGTAAAACATGTTCTCTAGCCCCACTCTTAGAAATGTTTTATCAATGACTCAGTGTACTTGATTTTTTAAAAGTCAGTGCCATCCCACTAAACAAGAAACTCCTTAGGTACAAATAATTAAGCCCTGCCTAAGTCACTTTAACAGCCTTCTATAGAGTGACACAGTCTTGCTTTTTTTCACAAGCAATAGCTGTAAAGAACAAATCTCAACTATAAGAACTGTCAATACATTGTAGGGATAAAGCACTTTTTGAAAAAAATATCTGGCATGTATTACACAGACTGAACATGAGCCAGAGTTGGGGTGGGCTGAGCCTTTTGCTGTCATTAACTGAATACACAAGAATGAACCTCATCAGATATCAGGAATCCATGTCATGCAAGTACTACAATAAGATAACAATAAATTCAGGAATGTTACTGGGGAAAAAGGAAGATAGCCTCACTGAGGATTTCATTATTTAACATTAAAAAAACTTTTACATTGGTACAACAAGGTAAAACTGTAAGAATCAGATTAGGCTCAAACTGGCAAGAAGCCATCTAAATCTTTCTTTTTAGGTGAGCTTTTTCTTTTTTTGTCCATAGTGCCGTCTGCGCTGTTTATAAAGGTGACGAAAATTTATGTATAACCCTGAAAAAGAGAAGAGGCTGATTAGAAATTAGATTCTTTGTCTATTTATAACCAGAAGCTCTTGTGGGAGGGACAGTATCTAGCTGTCATATCCCACAGCAAAAAGCTATTGCAGCAGCTCAGGAAGGAGTACAACTTATAAGAAATTAACAATGTAATACACACAACCCAACTTTTCTCCAGTGGATTTATTTATTTATTTATTTATTTTTTTGAGACAGAGCCTCACTGTCAGCCAGGCTGGAGTGCAAGGGCACAATCTCAGCTCACTACAACCTCTGCCTCCCAGGTTCAAGCGATCCTCCACCACCACACCCAGCTAATTTTTTGTATTTTTAGTAGAGATGGGATTTCACCATGTTGGCCAGGCTGGTCTTGAATTCCTGACCTTGTGATCCGGCCACCTTGGCCTCCCAAAGTGCTGGGATTACAGGCATGAGCCACTGCACCCAGCCAAGAAATATCTTATGGTATATTCCCAATCACTAAGAGCACTTAAAGAGCATAGTTTAACTGCTGGAGATTTAGAAAAGAAATATTTCCTTACCATAGCATATTCCCCTAGTGGGTCTGTTTTTGCAGAGTAATCATCCTCTAATTCTATCCTACTCTTCTGGAAAAAAATAATTATCATATGGACCTTTAATTTCTGAATGATTTAATTCTACTCTCTAAGAAGTGACAAGAAAAAGTCTGTGTTACAGAGTCAATACTTACCTAAAAATAGCATTATAAGATAAATCTGAAGAAAAAAGGAAAATCTAACTTTCATTTTCACTGGATATGGCAATGTGAAACTGAATCGTCCCGTCTCATTGAATATTGGAATGGACTGAATCACTGAGACAGCTGAAAACAGAAACAAGAACTTGTTAGAAGCAAATTAAAGTCACATCTAATGACAGGACCTTCCAGCCCCTAGTACTCTAAAGTTTCAGTTCTGGGTTTGCTGGAAAGGCTTCCTCCTCCCTTTGTACAGAAAGCTCATGCCTCTTCTCTTTCTCCCCTAGTCTTCAGCCTCCAGCCTGTCAACACAGAGACAGATGAGGAAGTCATGACAGTGGGCTTCTTCTGTTCTATAAAGTGGAGAGAAAAATCCCTAGCTGACTTATGAGATGTTTGTCAGAATAAAATAAAGTCGTCAGTAAGAACTCCCTTTGGAATACTAAAAGTATCATATAAATGGGAAGCAGGCAGGACATGACCACCTGGCTTACCAATGTTACAAAATGAGCTACTTTTCTGGAACAGTCTGAAAACTAGGAGTATTATGGAAGGAAGACCATAGAAAGAAATCCCCGAAAAGTCCAACACTTCCATTTATCAGACTAAGGCTGGCAGAGTGGGGAAGAAAGGACTGGTCTCTCAGCCTCTGGGCACCCCCTGGAGCTAAGCTATGAAAGCTAAGAGTCCCTGAGAGTACCTTCTGCCAAACATCCCAGTGGATATACGGGAATCCACACAGTGTAACGAAGCCATGTGACCACCTTCCAATCCATGTCAACGCATGTTAGCATGTAGAAGGGGTACCTATTGAAAATAAATGATTCAAAATTAAAAAAAAGAAGAAAAATGATTCTAACGTGAAAACCCACTTCAGGTTCTGAATGCAACCTTAGAATGTCATTTAAATAGAACAATTATATTCTCAGCCACATATGGCTTCTTCAGAACAGAATTGTAATGCTGGCTATCCACCCACAAACTCCCGTCATGCTACACCCTGAATTTTCAAAGGATGTCAACTTTAATGGCAGACTAAGTTTAGGTCTTAAAGGAATCTTCAGCATATGGACTGGATACTCAGATGTTTCTTGGCTTTATTCTGAGTTCTGATCTACATTCCCAGTGGGTACGGATATTAGGTACTTTATTTCTGGATAAATGAGTTGTTACCAAAATTAAAGTATATAAAAGACCTCTAATCTAGAATCAGACATACTCTATTTTAAAAGACATCCCATAAGAAAATAAATGTTTCTTCTCAAACAGTAAACGTTAACGTTAAAGACCCATAATCTGATCCTTTTGTAGCTCCTAAGCGTGGTAATTGGATTTTCACGCTCATGTATCAGATGTGCTTCCCTCAAACCTTGTTACATCAGCACATTACTTGTCTGATTTTAAAAACATAATCTGTTTTACCTTTGTATTAAGGGTATTAGAGGGTACACTGGGCGACATGGGACATAGACCATGGTTAAGACACAATTTAAGGCTGCTATGGCCTGTTCCCCCTCTCAACTAGAAACTTTGTCAAAATACCACCAAACCTGGAGCTAGGAGTTCGTTTGCAAAATCCTTGCTCCAGCTGACTGAAAGGGAAGAAATATGGAGTATGTGTGGTCTGGTAAAGAAAAATACATCTACTTTAACTGGATCCGTTTCTTAAAAGATACTTATTCTACTAACAACTGAGAATGGGAAAATTAGGTCAGAGGCCATTTCAAACTTCAATAGTCTTGTACTATAAGAGTCATTTCTATCACCCCTTGTAGAAAGTTAGTCTCAAACTAGTTCTGTCCAACCTGGATTGCTACTTCAACCTCATGTTTCTTCAGC